GATGAAACCGCGCTATAAAGTAATGAATTCGCTGGGCTGGATGAAGGTTTGGGAGATGTTGGCAGTAGTTCACGAAGGTTGGTAGTCTGAGTAAATTGCCGAACAATTACACGCCCAAAATTATAAAAAATAAAAGGAAACCCGGAAAGTGCCGCCTACCGTGTCGGTCTGAACGACACCTATGAATTGGTAGACCACAGTATGCTACGGGTAAATAGACACGAAGCGTCATGCAAGAACCCTATTGAGAGTTACAATATTTCAAGGGATTATATAGCCATAATACTGCTGAGAAAATAAACTAATTATTTGTTACCGAGTTTGTAACAGCTGATGAAGAAGGGTAGTCTGAGTCGGGTGCAGCAGATCAGCTCCGTCACTGAGGCGAGTGTCTTCGACTAGAATCTTCAGATTCAGCAGAGTCCAAGGAGTCGACGGTCGCTGGCCCAACAAAGTCGCGGATACCTCGAATTCACCCAGCACGCAAAACTTTACCTAACATACACAAAAGGCAACGTCAATTAGCACCATTTTTCTTCGACAAAGCGCAAAAGAATATTTACCGTGCCATTTCTGACTGAGAAATTTCGCATAGGCCTTGGGATTAGCTTAATGATCGAAAACAAACGGTTCTCGATCACTTGGTTCATTCTATTAAGCACGGAACGTTGCTCCTTTGGTGACACGGTCTCCTCAGTTATGAAACGGTTCTTAAAATGTAACATTTATTCGTTAGCCGAGCTTCTCCCATAGATCGGCACCTTTATGTGCAGCGGAAGCCGCAGATACTTCCCCAAACTCAGCACATCGACTGCTGCAGGAATCTGGAATGATGGAAGAAGAGCTTGAGAGAGTACATCTCTCGACATTGCGAACAGACGGTCGGCTGTATCGACGAACGTTGACGCTTGCTGGTCGAGGTAGCAAGTTATTGCCTGCAAAATAACGAACTTAACTGTAATGCAAGTATATTTCAGAGATATATTTCACAGATGTGTGATTCAAGACGGTCCAAGAAAGCATATGCTTCCGCACAGTATATATGCACCGCTAACACAGCTGCATTCAAGTTGGTGATCTTCATTTCTATCATGTTTTCGACGTTTAGAGTCGATTCACATCAGGATCAGAGTAAATGCGAACAACGGTTTAAGACACAAACACAACGATCGCTCGACTATAGCGGCGTACAAATCAGTATTCAATTTGCGTTCTCATATCCGTTATCCGAAGATTCCTTGATATGAGAAAACCGTGAACAGTTTTCGATGCTCCTCCAGTATATTCTATTCTTCACTTTCTCCCTCCGCCCCCAGCCAAGTAATCTGACTGTAGGATCCTGTCGGTGTATTTTTAAACAACCGACTCGAAATTTGCAGTCAGCAGAATCCGGATCATAATTCTTTACATCCATCGATTGTCATCCAGACGAGCCACAATGCTTACACATCTTCTCATGACATCATAACAGTAACTAATCACGTCTGTTACTCCAATACGTTGTGCTTGTGACATTCAAATGTGCTCTCGAAGCAAATCCTGCACATTGTTTGTTCCATTGCCCTTGATCAACGTTCAACACCGTAGATCGTAGAGGGTAGGGCGGCTGATACGAACAGTGCGTACGTTGCTCACATGGGCAGCCCAACGTCGACAAATGATGCATTAATTCAGGTAAAGCTGGTTCATACATTCTTCTGCTGATTTTCCCGCCAAGAGAGTTCCAGCGGCGCACCTGACAGCAGTGGTATAAAACTACTGACTTTTTCGAGTTCTTCGCCATTCACGTAGACAAAGACATCGGGGAAACACTCGTTTCGCCACCTTTTCATTTTGGAGAGATTAACCTTCAACCCGGTGGTGAGGGATCATCTTGCAACTGGTGGATATTCTGTTTGAGCTTCATCGTATCGAGTGCGAACACAATGCAGTCGTTCGCAAGTAACAAGTGCATCAGCTGCTTTACAACAACAATGATGTTGCTGTATAAGTTCAGTAGTGGATCCACGGTTGTGACGAAAAACGCTGCTCAGACGATATCTCCTTCACGTACTCTTCGATAAATACTGATGCGACATGGTCAACCGGTGTTCAATTTCTCGATAAGGCTGCCCAGAAATCAATTCTGCGGTAGATGACAGCAAAACATAATGGCACTTAATATTCGTTGCACCTCTCCATTAGCTGCAGAATCACTTGTGCAGAGACGATAACAGAAAATCCCGAGCGAAAACCGGCCTGTTCCTTTCGAATAAGGTTCATATTATGCACCCTCATATGCTAACCATAAATCCGCGCGATTTAGGTCAAAAGTATCTGCGTTTCAAAATTTCCAAACGATCAGAAATAAAAAACTGAAAAGATTGCAAGAATCGAGAATTCATCAGCACAAACAGAGCTGCTTATACCGCGAACCAATACCTTTGCAATAGTGGAAAAACAAAATGTGGAACACGAGCTGAAACGGATCAGACACCCCCATCCCGTCACTTCTGACAACACTGATGTTGAGATTTTGCCTAGTCTTAGAGGGTCACGAAAATAGAAATAGCAATGACAAGACGTCTGCATTACTTTTCAAAGTATTAACTGCAATTCGAATTGGTGTGAAGACGCAAAATGATTTTACCGTGCAAACGTCGAACTTCGTTCCGCTGCGAGCCCACTTCACAACGGCCAAAAGTCTTATGAACAGCTGCCGAGCAGAGAAGGCGAACTGCACGATACTGACCTTGCTGAAAAAAATCACGAATCACTCGTATGACTGGCAAACGCAGACAACATATTCATACCGTTCTATGTCCGACTTCTTCGGGGACCTATAATTGAAACAGCAAGTAATCTGTCAATGAATGCTCCGATCTGATCGCAGATCACACGAACAACCAACTTACAGTTCTACTAAAACCGTCAAATCCTGATACGTCTTCTGAATGGAAAAATCCAGCAGCATCGGAAACGGAATGGACGGCGGACCCTGGCTAGCGGGAACGTCTGGCAATGGAAATGTCAGCGGCTGTGGACTGGCGTCCGAAACATCGTCTTCGTCCGTCATTGCTTGTTATCGACCCACTGGACAACTATCCGCACCATAAAGGCTAGAACGGAAATTTAGCACTACATGAAAAGTAGTCACAGTAAGTGCAAGTGCAAGTATGCCACACTTGCTAAGAGGTCAGCATTGCACCAATCGGTTGTGCGAAGCAGTGAAGATGTTAACACTTTCTGAAAACTCAGATGCCATTCATAGCTTGTTACAAATTACTCATTTAACCACATATCATACGTAAAATATTATCGAGTGATAACGTCAAGTCAAACTTCGAACAATATCGAACAAACTTTATGCAAAAAAAACAGTTATTCGATTTCCTAACCTATCTGAATCACAGGCAAAAATTTAAGGCGCATTCATTATCATCGTCACCTCTCTTGACTGAGTGACTTGTAACAGCTTCCAAGATATTTTTCCAATGCTGGTAGTCTTCCGTCATGAGAGTTAATTATATCCATCTCTGCTTATTGATTCAGGACTTTTTTGAAACTTATTTTCAGGTTTTCTTCGATTTTCCTTTAAAGATGACTTTCAGGATAATGTTTTAGAGGCCGTGGGGCATATGACCAAAAACAGTAATTTTGGTAACGACTGTATTCCAGCTAACTTTTCAATCGTTTTTTTTACTTAATCGTTAACTTTATGGGAGCAACTCACCGAAACCGCCGAAAACATATGACTTTCGAACGCCGAAATACTTCTGCCGTTGCTGCCGTCAGCGTACAGGTTTTAGAGCCGTACTCGCCACCTGAGCACCCTCACCAAGAAAACTTTTATTTTATGGTGGATGTTGCTTTTCTTCCAGATCGGTTCTAGTTTAAGAGCACCATTGTAGCAGCTGATGGGGCTTTAGTTTTGGGATAAGACATGTTAGTAACCGCTCTGGCATGGCATTTTAATCCTTAAACATTTCCTAGGGTTATTCGGCTTAGCCGTATCTTCGGAAAGTCCTCGAGACTATCACTTTCTTCTACATATTTGCCTGTATATCGAAAGATAATGCCTTCATATTCAAATGGTCAATGAGATTAAAGAGCACTTCCTTGGCGTCAGCAAAGGTCTCAAGTCAAGCATCCGCGACGAACTGCTCTAACAGAACTCATCAGTGTTGGATCAGAATATTCCTGACATTTTAACGGCGTTCTCTAAATCACAGTACAGCAGTTCTAACTTTGTAATGAATCGGTCATCGAAGCGGTTTTTTAATATCCCCTTCAATAAATATTTTCTGCTGTCTGCAAATCTTCTGGAAGTCGCAAAAAAGGTGATTAAATGAGATGCGTTACCTAAAGCTAATTTTCAATATGTTTATTCATTTGGACCACACAGTCACCATTAATAAAATGAAATCTGCTTGTAACAAGTCAAGTTGAAGTCTTGGAGAGACCTTCATCCAGTACCAGATCGAAAAAACTGATAACGACGCCTGTTTCAGCGCCTAGCACGCCAACCTGAATGTTAATCGACCAAAAGCACAGGTATTCACAATTCGTCGTATCCCGTTCGTGGACTAACTGCAGCAAAGATGACCAAGAAGCGAACTGAACTGAACTGAACTATAACCAGTAGTTTCAAAAAAGCTGTATGCAGCACAGGAAAATCGCTAAAATGAACAGCAATGAAAATCTTTGCTACTGCCATCATTAGACTTATCAACCTGTTATCCGACATATATTACTATAGCGCCTCTAAGCTACAGCAGGCACTACTATTTCTACGTAACTTAGGAATTTACCAGCTTTCTTCGATCTTGCAGTATTTAGATCAAACATATTCTGTCATTAAATGTTGTGAAAATCAGCTCGACCATTCTGTGCATTCTGAATGTGAGGCGATAAAACGGAGTCACTAACAAATAGGTATCTGTCGCTGCTGGTCAACGAAAACTGCCAGAAAGTCTTTTCTAGCTTGAAAAGGTCAATATTCATGTGAGAATTGTCTCATGGGGAAATCGTCCACCGCAAAACAACAGGGGGGCTATACGACAGAGGAGGCTGACAAGTAAGAGGCAGGTCTAGGTTCTAAGAAAATATTTACTTACCGCAGGGGTTACACTTTGTACTGATTATTAGATCGAATAGTCAGCTATCATGGGTGTCAGACCGAATTGTGGGCCTACTAGGCGTTCGCTTCAGAGAACACAGCCGCATAAGATCTTGCTGTAAAGGCTGTTAGCAAGCTAACGACTCGCTACGCATTTTTCGGTTGGCTGCACTGAGGCACGAATACCCAGCTCAGGGATTTTTTTCGGGATTCGAACCAGGTACGTTAAAAACTTAGAATACAGCAAATTTGACAACCCAGAAATACTGTGGTTATGCAACTGCCGAAGGTAACCACCACAACAAAAAACTGATCGTACATGTGTTGGACGACAGTAAATTCAGCAATAACGTCTTTGTGCAAGTTAATCTGCTTTCGAAAAAGAATATGGTCCTTTCTGCAACAGTTAAAAACGTACCATTTCTCTGAGCAGAACTGTTATTCTAGAACGCCTTAAGTAACGATTACAGCAAAGGCAACAGCAGCAGCACTGTTACTGTGGATTTGAGATATCAAAATTATTATTGCCTAATATATTTGCTAAACAAAACCGTTATTACATTTACAGCAACAACTGTGCGTTATGCACTTGTCACGAATGAATTTTTCGCGGCCATTTAACAACTGTCCAAATAAACTGATTAGCAATCTGATATAAATCAAGAATATTTAGTTAAACGAACATCGAGTAACATTCACCAACACGCGGAACCACTACATTCGCTATTTCGGATGGACGACAAGGATACACAATTACGGTAGGTAA